TGGTCTTCTGCGTTTCAGAATATGCAATTCAGTTAAGGATTAAGGGATATGAGGACATATACGTAATACAGCTAGTTTTTCAAGCTGATACTTAATGCCATACAGAACTATAGCATTCAATACAAATGCTACGGAAGACAGAAATATAAAAGTAAAGATGTTATTTTTCCATCCTGTTGCAAATGTATTGATTTTTGAAAACGAAGTTTTTTCATATTTTTCATTAAAAGTTATTCTTTGTAATCAAAATATTTAATAACTAATGTAACTTAGGCAAAAAAAAAAAAAAGGAAAAAAAAGTGTGCTTATTTTCTGTTTTGAAAAAGTTATTAAGAAAATCACGAACATATTAAAAGTACATGAGTGAACATTATTGGGTTCTTGATAATAATGTTGATATACTTGTTCTATTTTAAACCTGAATAATTATTTTAAAAATTATTTAAAAAAAAAAGGTTTGCAGAGATATAAGAAATACATCTAAAATTCATTTTGCATGCAATGGGTTAGGGCCACTGGAAGAATAGGGGTGAAAGGAAAGAGACAAAAATTATTTGATAATCACCAATTTTTATTCTTGACAATTATCGTATAACCACACCAGATTAGCAACTGTGACTTATGCTTATCCCACCTGAAGATATGCTTTGTAATTTAGAAAAATTTAAACTTCTATAAATCCACATTTTCACTTTTGCCATTTAACTTATGAAAATTTGCCAGGTTTGGAACGTCAAAAGGTATCCCGAAACCTACGGGGATTTTGTGATTAAATCACCCATTCGAGAGAATCTACTGAGTCTTTTATAAATTGCATAATGCAAAATTGACGCACGGTGTGTTTATTTTCATACACCGTTGAATTTATTCTAAGATTGTGAGCACTTTCATCGTCTCCCGTGCGTGGGTCTTTTTTTCCATAAATAAATGATAATTGCCGTTTGCCCGCCGGGCCAAAAAGTAAAATGCTGTAAAGAAATTTCTCGTGCAAGGGTGAACGAAGACCCTGGGGATAATTCCCAGTCACCTTAAGTAAAGGTCGAGGGGGCATTTGTATATTTGCCACTCATAAAACTTCGTGAACACGCTTTCTGAAAAGCCCGAGTATTCTGTAAAAACATAATCGTTATTATTTGGAGGTTCTTTTATATTGTTGGGTTGCAAAGGGGCACTCTTAACTTTAGAGCATTTTTAACTTGGGCCACGTGACGTCATTTGATGAAGTTAGTGAACAAATACATGCAACACTGATCTAAAATGTTCAATTTTACTTATCTTCTATATTTGATAAGAATAGATTGGTTTATCATTTTTCTTGTGGAAAAGTTAAACATGAAAACAGAGAAATACTGGTTTAAAGCAATCTAACAGGCCTGCCGCAGACCGATGTGCTTCTAAAACAGTCTGAACAATTTTAAAAATTCAGCGGACACTTTTATGTTTGACGAGCATGGTCGCTTGTTTCAAATCTGACAGTAGATTAAATGGGATTTTCGAGCGAAAAGATACACTCCACGAATTTTCCTTACTTCTTAAACAATTCTTTTTAAGTACTCATGTACCAGCACTCTATCATGCAGTTTCAAATTGTTCTATAAACACACCAAAATACCAGGCATTTCAATTTAAACCTATCTGAAGTCATTTAAATGGTCATGCAACGCCAGCATTTTCATTTTGCGTGCAAATGCAATTTTGAGTAGGGGTATTAATTTGATTATTCACAAATTAATGGGAGTTACATGCCTTTGAGATACATGCATAAACTGGCTACCTAAAAAGCACTGTCATTTTAAGTTTGTAGTCTTAATTCAATCACGAACAGCTGCCTAAATCTTCCTTTGAGCATTTTAAATATTTCGCAAATACAGCTAGTCGAACAGAAGTTGAAGAGAGAGCTGTGCTTTTTAATGGAGTATTATTCACTGCTGCACTTCCTTGTTTGTGGAGTAAAATTTCAAAGTCCAGCAAAAAAAAAAAAAAAAAAAAAAAATCTGAAAATCCATCTTGAAAACAACAGAAACTGCATTTTCTTTTGCAATTCAAACCTTTTTACTTGCAAGCATTTGGCCAAGCACTCACAAACAATCCTATTCTACAATTATGCTCTGGACAATATTACCAAACAACACACTAGGGTTTCCTCCAGCGTCACTTCCTCAACTCTTCTTAAAGCGTAATACATGGATCCCGCTAAACTACGGATTCTGATACCCAGCATAAAGTAAGTTGAAAACCAACCCCCTGAATGCTGATTTTCCTAGGATCCCCGGGGAATACTTGTTTTTATAATCTGAGGTCAAACTGTTTTGTAAGTAACGAGTATATATTATATCTGCCGTCAAAAATTGACGTAAGGAAGTGATGCCAGAGTATAAGTCTACAGGTACAATAGATTTAAATGTAAAAATGAAAAAAAAAAAATTTTTAAATTTTACAGTAAAAACGCATGAAAACTGCAACCACTAATCTATGTAAAATCCAAAATCAAGGGCCTACAAGTAGAAAATATCCTAATTTTTAAGATAATTTAGGAAATCACAGATGTAAGTGAGATGAGCTTTAAATAAATGACACAAAACTCTAGGAAGCATTCAAATTAAAATGTCTTGCCTAATTAACAAAGCTATTACAATATCAAAACAATTGGAAAACATTCTTTAAGATAAATTTGAATAAATCAACTCTAGGTATCATCACTAATGATAAAAATTTCAATAACACGCAAATAAAAAAGTAGAAACAGTATATACAACTTATAAATCTAACTTATGTATATTTGCGATAGCTGCAAGCCAGCAGTGAATAGGTGCAAAAACATTAAACAAATGTAAATTATGGCTAAAAAGCTGCAAACAAAAGTAACACAAACCAACTGTAATGGGACTGGAATACTATCATTCCTTGTCTATTCCTTTAATAATTCCACTCTCATTCAAAGCAGTACATCACTAATATTTATAAAATATATATTATCAATAATATGTATTTTATATACAGATTTCATTGCCATCACAAACATATTCATCTTCACTTAAAAATAACACTAAGCTCTGACAGTATCACTGACATTCTTGAATGTGCCGATACAGTACACTTTTGATCAGATTAGATCATTTATGCAAATGGACGCATATCTTTGTCTGGCTATACATGTAATATTCTGACAAAAGTGAACTGCTATTATAATTCAAAACACTGTACCCAGACAGAGATTTTCTAGGTTAATCAGTTGCAATCTGTAAAAATCATTTCTGTAAACAAGACAACTAAACTAATGCTGGTTTTTGTTATATCTTACACAAGAGAAAATTTTCAATTTAACATATCTAATGCATAAAATTCTTATCAGTAACACAATACTCTTTGTTCTTAGAAAAACAATCAATTCCCATGCCTGTCTGCATTGCTCTTGTTCAGTTGATATTGAACATCGCCTTTCTCAGCATAAAGTTGTGCATGAAGCTAAAATTAAGCTCACCAAATAGATTTATCAATGTCAACACCTTTTTCTCATCATGCCTTATGCTAATTCACAATTACCTGCATAAAAATATGCTTCAGATTAGATAAATATATATTCATGTCTTAATAAAGGGAATGCAATTATTAAGGACTTAATAAATGGAATGCATTGAGTTCGCATATAAACATTATCAATTTATCTTTTCACCACACCTGTGACAGCTGAGCGACAAGGACTGGTTTTTCATCATCTAAAATGTTAAAAGCCTTCAATTATTTATTGAATCTTTCCTCGCATTCTATCATAAATGAAAAGTGCCAGTCCACACGTCACTTTTGTGCATTGGCTTCCTTCACTGGGACTATCATGGATACTTGGCATGTGCAGCCCTCTAGTGGGCATTAACGACACAACAGAAATCAATCCACAAGTATCTCAAGTTGTGTATGTATTCCCCCAAATGCACAGTCGACATATTTGAAATCTTCCCAACTGTCAACCTCTTAACAAGATTATTGCATTTTCAATAACTATAAGTACATTGAAAAATATCAAATTTCATAATCATGACGTATACTAGTGCTTCAATACATTCTGCTTTTTTCTGTAATGGATGTATTATCATTATACTGCAATATATACCAGTATACTATTTGACTTAATAACAGGTTTTAATGGAACAGCAAAAGCTTCAAAATTGATACATATATATATATATATCCAAAAAGAGATATAAATCAATAAACATGATAAAAAAAACACATACCCCTCGATAAAGAAAACAACAACAAACCACCCCAACTCCAACCAAAGCCACTTTCGGAAACATGAAATGTGTCTGAGAGGTAAATGTACTTTCCAACACTCCTGGAATGTGTCTCAGTTGTGAAGGTAAAAACATCAACTTACTGCCAACTGTGAAATATACTTCAAGGGCACTTACTAAAAACAAAATATTTAAAAAAAATGTTTTCAACATTTGTGTTGAAATGGTAACATGTGTCTTTATAAAATGACTTCAATTAAAGGTCTACATAAAAGGACTAAAAAATACATCTATTAAGTGATATTTCTTTAAAGCCTAAAAATCAAACATTGGTTCCATTGGGTAGTGCCAGTCCAAGTTAAATTAACATTTATTATAACCTCTACCTGAGAGGGACTAAGTATACAGGAAACATTGCAAAACCATAATTAAAACAGCCCAAAGACAAATGTTTGGAATGTGGTGATCTTTCAAAGACGCCATTCAGCTTAATAAATTAAATACACCCAAAATGGATTGATCAGTTTGCTCATTTAGTGGCCAAACATGACTTAGCCAAAAAGAAAAAAAATTGGGACGTGAATATTTCTACAGCAGAAATAATGTCACAGGTATTTACAAGAATGTGCCATCTGTCTACCCAGCATCAAACCTACATGTACCTGGATCTTAAACAAGTCTTCCTAACAAAAACTTGTCTACCTAACAAAAACTTGTCTACCTCATATCATTTCATCTCCAAGTGCCCAAATTTCCCCCCCTTTTTTTTTTTTTTGGCATGCCCCTACTGTCTCTATATTCACTAGAGGGTGACAAGAGGTTCAATATGGATTTTGTTTAACGTTTCAGTCTGAGGTATCTGTTATAGTTACATCAGGTGAGACAGGTGTTCCCAGGAGAGAGAACTGGCTGTCACAGTAGAACACAGAATCTCAATCAGCTGATTAATTGGTAACAGATGGCAGGTGAAGTACACAAGGACTCTGATAACTTGATCACTATACGGTAATCTCTCCATAAATTTGAACAAAATTAATTATTGATATTTTCCCCACACAAAACGGAATGAAATTTTGGTTGTCTAAAAGGAGCGATTTCTGGTCTGTGTTAATTCTGAGTAGCTAAATATAATCAATCTTGAAGTGATTGGAATACTTGTTGAAATAAGTGAATCAAATGCTAAAATATGTCATGTCTGACAGAACCAAGGCCATATGATAAATTCTGAGTAGTGTGGGATGAAGATCATCTCACATTCCTAGTAGATGAGGATTTATAATCAGTACATCTGAGCTATAAAATGTGTCACCTTGATGGGTCTGTCTCGGATTGGGTTAAAGTGCCCACATAACAGCTGTTTTGGACTAACTCAAAGAACTATTGTCTGTGTAAAAGTGTATGGATTTTAGAGGCAATACTGTCTGGAATGCTCTGTTTCAATGAGCAACAGTTCCTCATGCCATTGTAGGACTCGCAAAATATTGCTAAGGAAATTGTCTTAATTATTTTTCTATAATCTTCATACTAGCCTTCTGCAGAATATTTGCCAGGTCATAGTTATTGCAAAATGTACCTGTACTAAATAAATAAATAAATAAATAAATTATACAAGTCAAGTAGGACAAGTGAATCTGATGAAGATAGTCTGTCTGCTCTCACAGAAAAACATAATTCTTCAAATCTGTTATCCAAAAGTTAAATTAGATAATCTGGATGGCCAGATTAGATTTTTCAAATCAATAACTTGGACTTTGTGCTGCCAACAATATGATTAAATATAAAAATATGAGTTATCAGATAAATGTGACTGTGGTTCTGTATACTGTAAAGGTATGAGAGGAAAAGGGGCTCATTTAGAACAGAAGATCCAAGGATCAACTAATCCGCGGATCAAATATGGCCGACCCTACATGACAGAAGAGCCGACTAATCTGCTGATGGTCTCCCCGCCTCCACACAAGCCATTAAACGGATTAAATCAAGGCTCCAGGGTTTAATTGCTACACTACTGCAAGGACGGCACTTGTGGAGATGGGGAGACCATCAATGGATTAGTCAGGTCTTCTTTCATGTAGGGTCTGCCCTATTTGACCAATGGATCAGAAGATCCTCGGATTTTTTATTCTGAATGGCCTCAAATATGCTGCATGACCAGGTACATGTTAAAAACATGCACGGCTATTACTGACTAGTAATATCATAACAAAATTATACTGTAACTTACTACTGTTGATTGTAGAAGACAACTATAATGCTTATAGCTAACATGCTAATAGGTTTGGGGTTTGACCAAAATACTTCTATTCTTGCAAAATCCCTGGTTGCACAAAATGTAGCAAGTACAATGCATCACAAAATAATGAAACAGTAAAAAACAATTCTACGTAATAACTTCATGAAATTTTTTTAATAAAAATATTCTACTAAATCTTTTTTAATTTGGGTTCAAACTGAAATGAGTGGACATCTTTTTCAGATGCTGGATGGTTCTTATCACAGCTTCCGACCACGTGCATTCGTCGAACGTAATTCCCAGCTCTTTGCAGACATGTTTCACGTGTTTGTTGGCCTTGCGATAATTGTGTCTGGGCATCAAGGGAAAGAGATGATGCTCGATGTGGAAGTTGAGACCGCCATGAAACCAGTCCATCCAAACAGGATTGACGATGTTGATGTTGGAGATCACTTGCATGCGGTACCAGTTTTGTGTTGTACATATGTCATTTTCGAGGTAAAATGGTTTGCAATAGTGACTTATAAGCAGTTGGATGTGGAGGACGCCTTCGAAAATAGCTGCCATGCTGTAAAACACAAAGCATTCATACCATGTTGGTAGAAACGAGAGCAACAGACATATCCATGTCCAGTGGATCACAAAAGCTACCCATTCCCTCACATTTTTCTCTTCGCGGAAACTGTCCAGAATGATAGCCACACGACCAAACAAAATGCACGTGGGTAAGAAAGTGATGTGCTGGACTTTGATTGCATAGTATTCGAAGAGGCTGTTGTGTAATGGGAAAAGGCGTTCATTTTGAGCAAATATCGCCTCGTGAGCCTGAGGGTCACTCCATTTGGTCTCTGGGTTGACTGTATTGGTCAGTGCGTGGTGGCTAAAGTGCTCATCTCTCCACCAGCTCCCCGACACCCCAAGACACACGGTACCGAAGAAAGTTCCAAGCCAGCGGTCAATCTTGGCCTTATGGAAACCCTGGGTATGCATGAAATCATGCATGAAAAATCCACACTGATGCCAAAAAGAGGCAAGAAAAAAGGCCCCTAGGTAGTGTACATACCACTTTTCGCTGGCTATCACGCAGAGAAAGGACAATGCCAGGAGACAGAAAGTAATGGCAAATTTACCCGCGTACCACAACATGCTGGTTTCAAAATATCCATTTTCAATAAAAAATTTTTGCAGCTGGCGGAATGCTTCTGTTGCTGGGTCCTCGTCCNTAACTGTAACAAATTACATGCACTCAATAAAGATCTATAAAGTGAGGCCATTTCATTGGGCAACAAAGAAACAATGACCATTAGCAATCATTAGGAGTCCATTGTCTAATGAGATTGGGTTCTCACCATGCTTCAGGTTTAACCACAAACTGTTTTCTAGCTCTTTTATCTTTTTTAATTTAAGGTGAGAAAATTTGTTTACCAGTACCCAATAACATGTTACTAGCAATCTATAATACTTACTACAGCACATGATGTTCGTTTTTTTAAACCAAAATTTCCAAAACTTTTTCTTTTTGCCAAGTGCAGTCAAATCAAAAGTTTATGTGTGAGATAATTCACTGTCACCCAAGCTTATATGCCAGAACACTTTGGGAGTCAGCAAGACCATTTAAGGCATATTTCATGTGAGGGTGGCAGTGTATTATTTCACATACCTACTGACAGAGAGTATAGTCACACTTTACTTCAAAACACCCCTCAAACCTAATAAATGTATGTCACCATAGTCACAGAACCCCTCTAGGTATTTATATACAGATATAAACATGTATATAACCTAATATTTTACTTCAACTGAAAAAGCTCAACTGGTGGTGGTTGAAATAACTGCACTATAAATACATGATTCAAATCCTGTCTCTTATAATATTGATTTATGTATGATGCACCCCATAATACACTCCAAAAGCCTTGTAACTGTAATGAAACAAACACTAAATGAGTTAAAACAGTGTTTTCAATGCGTAGTGATAAGAGCCAGGCCCCAAGGTAATGAACGCTAGTTGCTATGGGTAACTAACAACAAAACGATGTCTAAAATAACTTTATTGGTTTAGGGGACAAAGCAGAGCGGGGTCAAGCAGATTTATCTTACACTCAGGCATCTAATAATAGGTAGTCGTGGGCACAATTGATTTGATCTCCTTACAAAACCCACAACTTTGGTTATCCAACACAACAAAACTCTTCCTTCATTTTGGATTTCTGAGCAAAGATAGTTCTTGATAGCATATAATTGAACCTCAGACAATTTTGATTTCACTAAGCGATAAACTATTATTACAGTAGTTCTTTTAAAGTCTTTAATTAAACCACCTTCAATTTCTTTAAAATTCAATAATTCAATAGTTCTTTTAAAGTCTTTGATTAAACCAGCTTCAATTTCTTTAAAATTCAATAATTTTGAAATTAGGCTAAAACAAGAATTAAGTCGTTTGGTTAAGCTGCCTGAGGTTAGACACGTCCGTCGTGCGTTTTATCATTAATCAAGGAGGAAAATAAACGTACATGAACCAATATCAGCATATCTACAATATCATACACCCAGAGTGTGAGAGAGAACACGTAACCCGCCTCCACTGTCAGTGCGACCCACTGATAACACAGGTGAGTCTCCAATGACCACAGAACCTCGGGGTCATTCCACAAGGATGACAGATAACAGGTTCTTTTAGGTCAGTAGGATCCTGAGCAGCACAGGTCATCCAAGGCCATCAATACATCTAATAAAAAGGTCACACTTAGGGGGTGTCATACTATCTCATCACCCATAGGGTCCCATTAAGGGGGTGTGGCACTATCTCGTCAACTAATGCAGCATGGGATATGTTAATTCCTATTAAAAGGTCACATTCATCTGAGGGTGTGTCTCTGTATCATCACCAATAGAGACATTGCAGACAACTCTGGACAAATCATACATGTCTAACAAAAGAACTCATTAAGGGGGGTGTGACACCAGCTCTAATTATTGTAAAGTGCCACCTTTTTTGTGTACCAAGTCTATATTTTTCTGTTTGGCTGGATTGAAGCAACTTGAATGGATAGAGACATGGTTGGGAGAGGCCTTCAGTACATGTATGTTTGGACAATCACTTACAATATTTAGTGAACCTCCACATACAATGTGTGTGTGTGTGTGTGGTTGGGCATGTGTGTGTGTGTATATATATGTGTGTGTGTGTATTTGTATGTGTGTGTGTGTGGTTGGACATGTGTGTATGTGTGTGTGTGTATGTGCATGCATGCATGCGTGTGTGTGTGTGTGGTTGGGCATGTGTGTATATATGTGTGTAGGTGTGTGTATGGTAGTACACACCTGATAGCACATGGTAGTCTAACAATGGCACAGCTATCTCCATAACACACTGATTCCAGTCAGCTGAATGTGTGTACGTGTATGCATGTGTGCTTGTGCATGTGCATATGTGTGTGTATTCACTTCCTTTTAATTGCAAGTCAAATGATGGATATACAATGAAATGGATAGAAACTTGAACTACGACTGAATCGAATACAGAACATAAGTTCCTGACACTGAATTAAGTCTAACCAGAGAACTTGCTAATGATGATTGAAAGTGATCTGAATATAAAGTTGCCTTCGTATATGAGAACCCATCTCTGTCCTATCTACATATGTAAAATATACCAGGACATATGCAGGTATGAATATTAGAGAGCACATGTTAATTAAGCAAAACATTCTTTCCATATATCTCATGGTACTTCATAAGATGGCACTGTTAATGGATTTATGTTGATCGCTACACCTCTACAGCGAGAAATACACAATTGGTCAGAAAGATATAAGCCCAATAATGCTTATCATTCTAATGAAACCCATTTATCTGGACAGATTCACACTCAGCAGGACTAAGTTGGACCTAAAACTGCCACACATGAACTCATATATACATACATTATATCTTCACCATAAACCCAGGGTCTTATATCAGGATGGCATTGTGACCAAACAAATGACATTACAGTATCATTTACAAGTACCTAATTTAAATGTGCAACTGAAACGGAGATCTTGAGAATGGAAACCACAACCCGAGGTCATCTTCTGACATAAACTTAGGAGCTACTACAAGTAGTTCATGTCTAGGCCCTTACATATATGTAAGCTTTATAAAAAATATGGTCTCACTCATATTTTTGGCCACTTCTCTTGCTATAATAACCCTACCTTTTTTAACAACTTATTTTCTTTTAAACTAAATGAAAAAAAAAAAAAAAACCATCTTCATAATTTTATTAATAACAAAACTAAATTATTTTCACATAAAAGTATCTCCTATTCTATTTCAATTTTGGGTTACATGATGTATCTCAGTCAATTTCTGGTTCAAATTACACTGGGTGTAAACAGGCCCAACTTGCACTTTGCTGCCTACAAAACCAAACGTTTCATCTTTTATCATCCAATCAATTTTTAATAACTTGCCGCATACATTTTTTAGGGTAGATCATAAGTATCCATACACAAATGGCACTGACATTGTGAACTCCTGACCTAAATAAAACTCCAACCACCAACTTTATATATAGGCCTATACCATTTAGTTACATCTCAAAATTATAATTATTATTTTCCAATCAGTTTTCTTGTTCATAAATATATTTTTGTCTGCTTCGATCCTCTTGACAGATCTTTAACCAAAACCAATTTTTTAGCCCTGACAGCATGATATTTCCAACATTGCGCACATGTTTAGAGAGTGGACTTGCTTAGAAATTTTACTGGTACGTGCACATGCATAACAGATGACACGTACTGCATCTGCGATTATGATATCCTATACCAACACAAATACTGGTTATCTATTTTACTCTTGCTTCCTGTCTAGACACTATAACATTTGACACACTTTGAACAGCTAGCTGCATTGCTTCGTTCCTTTCCTCTCACCTTCCTTCTCTTTTTATGACTAGTAGTACTAGTACTATTACTGGTATTCCTGTCATTCAATTAGATTGTATGTGGTGACCTCAACTGAAGAATATTTGAGTTGCAAACTTTCAACTTTCAAAGGAGGGATACAGAAATATTTATTCATAAACAAGAAAACTTGTTGCAGATTTTGGTTAGATGCCTTTATGAAAATAATAATAATAATAAATAAATAAATAAAAATGAATGACCACATAAAATTCTTGTTACTGCTATTAGTTCACATTTAGAATGTCTTTGGTGATATGACCAGCCAAAATGAATGGTCTGGACCCCAGCCCCAACCCCCCCTCCCACATCCACCCAGGCATATTTCCTACAACCTATTAATATTGCCCCACCAACAGACAAACTCCATATTTCACCAAACACTAGTATACTAACAATAAACCCCTAGCCTTTCTTTTGTGAAGAACTATGAAAATAGTTTGGCTGTAAGTTATCTGACTGAAATATGCAGGTAAATAAAGCATTTGAATTCCACACAGATGCACTCACAAAAAGGCAGGGGTTATTCAATCGGGAGTTATTTAATCATATTTGTGGTATATGCAGTATCTTTGGATAAAGAGGACCCTTCAACTTTTAACATAAAAGTGCAAGTGACCCCTAGTAACAAAAAGGCACGTTACATTCTGAGATGTACTGTACTGTACTTCAGAAATTTTAAATTTTGTTCTTAAAACCAACACAAGTAATACTGTTTGTAACAGTATGTAATATATACAGCATTATATCAAAGATACAATTATTTAACTTACAGGTGTTTTAAGTCCCCACATGATATTCAGTGCTCTACATGAGATAGATTTTACAGACTTTGTAAATTATGATACAATAAAGTTACAATCTTATCTTAAAAATATGGCACATCCAGCTGCAATCTTTTAGATAGAAGAAGTGAAAGGGCTTGGCATTGTTTGATACTTCTAATATCTTTGAAAGTTTGTAACTCAAGTATTCTTCAGTTGAGGTCATAATATACAGCCTCAGCACATGGCACAAATACCAGTACTATTTCTAGTTATATCAGGAATAAGGAAGGTAAGAAGGAAGGAAGGAAGGTTGGAAAAAAGGAGAACAGCCATCATACAGATCATAACGCCTAGCTCATATAACACAATTTCAAACAGTGTTACCATTTTACCTCTAAACCCCAGAGAGCTGTCCAGCCATCATTTGGACAACAAATGGCCTCAAAATATGGCCTATGTTTTCAAAAACGAGTGGACAGCTTAGGAAATCTCTG